AAATGTGATTTAGTACAGGGTCTCATTATGCAGCTTGGACTTAAGTGACTCTCCTGTTTTCAGCCTCCCAAGTGCTGGGATTATAGGCATGCGCCACCATGCCCAGTCTCAATCACCATCTCAGTGCACCCCGGGGATGGGACCAGCATGGCAACAAAATATATTTTTATATGACTAGGTTGAATGATATTACTCAAAGACTAAAAAGGTAAACTGATCCGAGAAACCCAGGACTGTTCTACACTTTGTTTATTCAAATAAAAACCATATGCTAACTCTGTTTTCTGAATAACTGTGCTTCCCCAAGTTTAAAAGCGCCATGCAGCACTAGCGTTCCACACAGCCACATCACTCACCTTTAAGTAGTACACTAGAAGTTCATTCAGAGCAGGGTCAGCATTCAGATTAACCAAGAAGCACTTGTCATCCCCAACCTTGATTCCTGAAGACTGAAGCGATATCCCAAGGCTCTCCAGCTGTTTCTGTCGCTCCTGCAAACACAATGGAGATGTTAGTCCCTGGGCTACTGAGGCAGCAAGATACAGAAGATCCTACATGAGAATAATTACTTGGGACTGTGGGTATGGCTCAGTCAGGGAATGCTGGCCCAGCAAGGCAGAGGTCCTGGTTCTATCCCTAGCACCACCACAAAAGAAAACAGAAAGATTATTCAGTATCTTTATAATTCATAGATGTTATCTTCAATACAGCTTTGCAGATCATTGTATCTTGTTCTTTTCAAACTATCTAGTTTTACTTTGCTAATGAAAATTTTTTGAAGAATAAAACCCATTACAAATAGCAACCAAGTAAACTAGTGAGTTCTCAATTTTCTTTCTTAACAACATCAAACACCTTCAAAGCAGTTCATTTAACTCTGTGTATGTGAGCAAACATGCATGCACTTTACTCAACTACAAACTTTCTAAAAAGGCAAGTTTTCACTACACTCTCCTGCTTGACACCTGCAGTGACTGACCCCCTAGCCAAGACAAGGCCCAGGCCACTCAGTAAAGTTCATAGGGGCCTGCATTCTGGGCCTTGCCTTCTGTTTTCACACCTTGTCACGCCTCCATACAAACCCTTCCCAACAGTCACATGGAACATGGTCCAGGGTCTTGAAGGTACCACGTGGTTGTCTCCGCTTGCTTTCATGTAAGGGAAAAGCTCTTGCTTTTGCCTGGAACGGGTTTGTTCTCATTCTCAGTTACCATCTGCCTCGTGCCAGACTGCAAGCTTCATAAGCATGGGTCCTAACTTATGCGAAGTGTGTCCCTCACACCTGCTACAGTGCAGGACATATAGTAAGCTCTCAAAATATGAGTGCTGTCACCTTATCAAAGAAAGCCTTATGCACTTCATTCAAGCCCAGCTTCACAGGAGCATGAGCCTTTCCTTCCGCTGTACCTGCAACCTCTGAAAGGCACACCATGTAGGAATGTGTATAAAGAGGGCACACAGGAGCCTCCCAGCAGGACACTCCTGTGAATCGAGGCAGGGTGGTATGTTTTTGACTATGAGTAAAGAACATGTGATCAGTCTCAGGCACTGAGGATCTGTGATTCTGGGGCACCAAAACAGACTAAGGCATTTAACAAGGGCCACACAGCAAGTCTGCAGCATGATTAGAACAAAGAGAATTTCACTCTTTCTAGAAGTACCATCTTAAGCCACATGGCCACTGCAACCCATCACCTATGAGCACATCGTTACACAGAAGGGGAGGGGCATCTTGGTTCCAGGTCTTTGACTCAAAGGTCTTTTCTAACAAAAAAAAAAAGCTACATATTCTACCCATAAATAATTATAAATGTCAACTGGAAAAATTTTAAAGTTAAAATAAGTTAAAAATAAATACCATTCAGAATCAGCTCATAAAAAGTACAGTAAGGGATGACCCAGGGCCGCGGGATCCTGAATAGACCAGAGCACAGGCCCGGCGAGTGAGTGAGACGACCCAGGGCCCGCTAGATCCTCATTTGATCCAGTCTGCAGGCCCAGCAGGGAACCCTTCAGCAGAACTCCCTGCAAAGAGGCTAGGGCAAGACCCACCCAGCTGATTCAGGAGCAGAACATCTTGCCAGAGAGACACAAAGGGTTCAACTCTAACGCCTGCAGCAGAAAGAAGTGGAGCAC